CCTTGTTTAATGCATAGCGCCTAATATCCTATACACTTCTCTTCTCAGAAAAACTTCAAAAAGTGTTGTAGGGGCGCTTTGGGAAATTAGCACATGTATTAGGTTACCATAATACTTTCCTCTCATATACAAGGTGTAAAAGCCCTCATTTCTGTGCGTCATTGTATAGAGAAAACAAAGAGGCGTGAGTCCACAAATACATTGTACTTCTCTTCTTCTATATAGTGCAACTCTGTAGCGGCACCTAGTGGACGTGCTCTTACATTGAGAGTGAACCCCTAGTTTGTTTTCTTGCTTTCATTTATCCTATATCACATTATATATTGCTCTCAGAAATACAGATTATTCGTTTAATCTATTAAACCCCGTCCTCGTAGACTAGGTCATGCCACATACAACAAATAGGAAGAAAAATAAAACTAAATCTCATTTAGAGTTAAATACTTCAAATATTTTTCTTTCTAAGTGTATTGCTTTAAGGTCTAAGTCTCTACAAATCAAGCATGGTGTAAAAAAACAAACAATGACACTATAAAACCAATATGCAAAGTCAAAGAAGAATATAACTAATGTAAAAGGTTCATATATCGAAAGAATCTAACATGCTCCTAGAAATAATATGTTCAACAGCAACAGAAGAGGAGGAGGAGGAGGAGATAATAACAATAATAATAATATATTCATGAGCATCTCTCTTCAACTTACCATGGTGGTATCAACCCCTTTGGAAATTAAGTTGTCTGCAAATTGTGATGCAATTGTTGTAACGAAAACTGAAGCTAGTGGAGGAAGGACAGAGACCTGAAATTATATATAAAATTTTAAATATTACCCTCACACATCCCTAAGAAAATGCATTGTAAGCCTTCAATTCTTTATGTGCAAGCCCACAAGCAATACGTTGTACTTTTGGATTCCATAAAGGGAATATGATCTGTTACATAGTATATATGTTCATTACTATGTAGCTTATGCCTCTTATTTACAACAATAGACATGCATTATTAACCCCTTTATTTTACCGTTTCTTTTAACTTGGGAGGTGAAGTAGTGTTGACTGAATGTTTATTTATTCCCTTGGGGAATGACCTAGTACAAATCTCAGAGTATCTAGTTTTAACAAACATTTCTGAGGGAGCTCAACTTCTTGTATCTTCTATGTTAGAATCTTTTTTCTTTTAGCTTAACTATTTGCCTCAAAGCCCATTTACTTATTTGAAATCATAACTTGATTTGGATTTGGTGCACCTCATGGGTTCTGCCCCAATAGCGAGTTTTGATGCTTTAGTGTAGGCCTTCGGTTTCATAATGGATGGAACGTATATGTGTTATAGCTAGGTCCCATAACTTGTCGAATCTGACTGAAACCTAATTAACAACTGGGTCAAAGGGCATCATGCTTTGAGATTTGAGAATCACAACATATAAAACAGCAATAGAACTACTGCTTCGCAGTTTAAAAATGTCAAAATTGATTCCACTGGTAATGTATTTTGAGGAGTTAACAGTAAAGTACATCTTTTTTATGAAGGCGCAACAGAACAGCTACTTCCTCAGATTGCAAGTCATAATAGTACAGACAAGAGACTATATAGTCACATGTAAGTAACATATATTAAAGTGGTTTTGAGACTAGAATGGCATTTCACTGTGATTCTAAAATCAATGAAAAGATATTTCTCATAATGGTATAATTCATTAAAATTTGGGACAAACATTTCAATGAGAGTAATGGGTCATCGTTATTTGCTCTACACATTAATTTAAAGGGAATTAAATCATAATTTACTAAACAAGTTTAATGTCGGCTCACCCATGCAGCTTCAGTCAGATTGAGGTTCAGTTCGTCACTGCAAGAGATGTAGCTAGCAATTATAATTTGTTAGATAAAAACTTACGAGATAACTAAACAATTACTATCCAGATGCTTTAACACCAGTGACTGTGAACTGGAAAGAAAGAACAGTAAGGAATACAGTAAGGAATGTTCCATCATCCATCTCATATCGTACAGTAAGGAGTGGAGAGACTGTTCATAATCATATACTAGTTTGGAAAGTTGTTTACTTTCTGAGAAACTAGCTTCAATTCTTCTCCGTACACGCTATTACAGAGTAAGAGCTGATCATGTATCACCGAGAGCAATAATAATATGAAAAAAAGAAAACAGAAAGCAAGAACACAAAATTTAGTGTGGTTGACTCTTCAGTGCAAGAGCTACGTCTACTTTATGATTTCACTAAGACAAAGGAGAATGCAATGTATGTAAACTCACAAGCTATGTAATGTTCTCAATGCACCACGAATAGGGTTGGTAAAATTCTATTTTTTTAATTATTGTTAAATAACAAATTGGTACTCATATTTAAAAGATTTTATCAAAAAAATTCAATAACTTGTTTGGGCTCCATTAAAATTAAATTACGGGAATATGTATTTTGATATAATAATTTTTTTTTTTTGGAAAACATGTGTTTAAAAAATGAGAAGTTTTGGATTTACATATAAGAATAATTTATTGAAAAATATGTAGTTGAAAAAAGGAAAGAGAAAAATGCATTAAAATTAAAATTGAGCCTAAGCACGGGCTTTATTTAGGTTGATGCTTGTTATGGTTATTTTTCAGCTTCTTCTAGTTATTTAGACTGCCTTCATTAATTTGATTGTGGGTAGTAAATATTTCAGAAATTATTCTCCTCTATTTTTAAAAATTGTAATTTTGAAGTTTACCAATTATGCAACTTGATCCTTGAGGTTTCAAAATCTTGCATATTAGCCCCTGAGCTTTCAAATTTATGAATGTTGGCCCCTAAGGTTTTAGAATCTTGCATATTAGTCGATGAACTTTTGAAAAACTTAGATTATCTAAAATTTCAAAGTAGAGAAAGTCCGTGATGTCTCTATCCGTGACAAATTGATTCATAAGCTTTAGTATAACCGTAGTTCACCTCCTCGTTGGTCTAGAGACCTCTCTCCATCATCCTAATTATGTGTGATTGCTGTTCCCTTGGAATGCTATTTATTTGGTCGGGATTGATTTTATGGTGTTGTGATTGAGTTGTTTTTGGTCGGTTCTTGAAGTATCAAATATTAGATTCCTATTCAAAAGTTTTTTTTGCTACAAATATTGTTGGACCTTCTACTACCTCTAACCTTTTGGTGGTTTTGAGATTAAAATTCAGTGATGCATGACTCTTCATATTAGCTCACCAAATTGTTTGGTCGGGATTATTTTCTGTTCTTGCTGCTAGACACCCTCTGAAATTTTTTTCAGTTATGCATGACTTCTCGTATTGGCTGACCAGCCCTTTGGTACTCCTTAGTGGTTTGACAGATTGGACTTGTCTACCTCTATTTTTCCACGGAGACTATATATATAGAGGGTGAAGTACCTTCTTGTGGTGGTCGACCCTCCCATTTGAAAACCTAAGATCTGTCTACCCCTTTCAGTTTTCATTGTGCATTCGTAGCTTTTGCTATGTGTGCAAGCCTTCTAGTTAATGGGATAGGTTTTTGGCTTTCTATTTGTCGATTATTTGCTGATGTGTATGAAGGGCTTTGCTGTTTTTGAAGATTTTGCTCCCTCTTGTGCATGCTATTTGTGCATGAGTTTCCATCTTTTGGTGATGATTTTATGGTATTCGTGTATCTTAAGTAATACGTCGTGCAAGACAATATAACTAAGGGGACGATTGGAACCAGTAGAGAATGGGAGGTTTTTAATACTTGGAGTTGCAATCAGGGTCGAGTAACGGTTTTAAAATAGCGGGCTATTCTATACATCATCATTTAAGTTGAGCACGTGAGATATCGACACACTAACTTGAGAGGGAGAGTTAGAATATGAGTTATGGAAATATTTCTTTCTAGCTTATATGTTAGTCTAATTAGGAATTAATATTATTCATTTTTGTATATGATTTATATTCTTTCCTTTTTATTGCCTTCTATTACAAGGATTGTACTTAGGGTTGGCAACGGTTCGGTTATGGGTCGGTTCGGCCAAAATCATTACCGCACCACCAATTTTTGGACCATACTATAACCGCACCATAACCATGTAAATCGGTTTGATTCCGTTTGGTTCGGCACGGTTCGGTTCGATTAATAACCACGAAAATAAATTATTTTTTTTAGGTTCATCTGTCAAATTGATATAAAACAATTTATGAAAAAAGTCAATGAAAATAAAAACACAATATTCAAAACGAAAATGCAAACATTATCCAAAATTTCAATTGTAAAATACAAATTTAATAAACAATCTTATAAATTTAACAATACTAAATTTTTCCTTCATTCTTAATTGTTGTGCATCGAAGTTACTTGATTCATTCTTCCCCACAAGTCTTACTAGTGTAGATCAACACTTAAAGTTGATTCATATATAGTAAATAAGAAATTTAAGTAGAGAATAAAACGATACTACCTATTCTAGAATAGTCTTAACTAAGATTTAAATAAAAAAAAAATTCACCTCTTCGTCAGCTTCCTTCTCGCTAAACGTTGCACAAGCTCTAGAGTATGAAGAAGAAGTAGAATTTTCTACCCATAATAGAAAAAAATTAACAATAAAAGGAGCTGTGCTTGAGTTTGTGGTCTGTGGAGAGTAGGGTTTGCATTTATATACGGTTATACTAATGCTATTATTATGGGCTAATGGTAAGTGGGTTGGCCGGCTGAGTCATTTAGATGTAATGGAGGGATTTTGTTTTGGGCTAGATAGAAAAGTAGTGTAAAGCTCAATAATCAAATTTTTTTTTTTTTTTTTTTTTTTTAAAGCGGTAATCGGTTCGGTTTTGGTTCGACGGTGTAAATACCATACCCGCACCGACACGAACCGGTTCATAAAAATAAAAACTATATCCGCCCCATTGCACCATTGGTTCGATTTTTTTCGCCCCATTCGGTTCGGTTAACCGCTGTTTTCGATTTTGACGGTTCAAATTGCCATCCCTAATTGTACTCCTATAGATAGGATTGATTGAGTATTTAATAAATATTTTCGCCTAAATTTCAAGTTAATGCATTAGGTCTAAATCAAAGGTCTTATCTCTTATTTTGGATAGTTAAATGTATCTTTTCTAAATTTGGTGGTCGATCAAGCTTGATGAAGTGGTCTTTCATGTACCCTAACACAAATAAATTTCACGTTTATTTAATTGATTATTTGGAAAACTCAAGCCAAGATTTAAACCTAGTCACAATGGTGAATGAATAAGCAGCATTTTAGTGGTTTACTGCTTTTTGAATTGGATAGCTCTTAGAAGAGGGGAAAAAAATACATATTAAATTAATTAGAGGAGGATGTGTAGGTTCAACAACAAAAGGAAACTAAGTCTACTAAACAAACTTGATGTGGTTTACGTCAATGCCTTTTTGCCATTCTTTTCAATCCAGAGTTATCTCTATTGAAAGGTCTAATGAAATCTAATACTTTGCAGTTGTCTGATGCCATGTTTAGTTTAGGTCACCTATCCTTCTTTTAGACATTTTCCCTGTTTTTGGCCTTTTCTGAAAGCAAAGTGGCTTTCACGTTGTACTTCTTTGTAAAATAACCATTTTAATCTGTTTTGCATCATAATGCTTGTCCTTGGATTGCCAAAAATTAGCAAAATGTTGGAAATCTTGTTGGAACACGTATGTCCGTGTTATGTACATGTCATAATGTGTTTGTTTCCGATGTATTTTGGACTTGGACAGCTGTCGATACTCTGGATCCAGGCTGGCTTCAGAATGTTCATCAATTTTCTTTGTAACGTTTGTCGATTTGTTAACCTTTCTTTTGCTTCCTTTGGTGGCTGGTTAATGGAAGTGTGTAGCAGATGTCATGCTGAGAATAAGAGAGAGATATTGAGTCTAGATGTTTATGACAGCTGGCTATCCACGGGATCCAGGCTGGCTTCAGAATGTTCATCAATTTTCTTTGTAACGTTTGTCGATTTGTTAACCTTTCTTTTGCTTCCTTTGGTGGCTGGTTAATGGAAGTGTGTAGCAGATGTCATGCTGAGAATAAGAGAGAGAATTGAGTCTAGATGTTTATGACAGCTGGCTATCCGCATGCAGCATTTTGTCTAAGACAAGTAGATCCTGGCATCCTGCTTGCTTATTTATCTTGTTGTCTGCATAGTTAATTTATTAACTAAATTGCCTGCAGAATATAGTTCATCGGATCTCAATGAAGATTATTTGGGTTCTAATTTGTGTTTTGTACTTGCCAATTGTTTGTTCTTATAGCTGTGAATTTATGTGCATCAACTGCTAAGATTTTGAGAAGCACAACCAGTCTTTCCACAATGTTTTAGACTATCATTTGTTTGGATATGTGGCCATATTAGCATTTACTATTACTATTTGCCTTGCAGGATGTAACAGCTACTAAAGGAAATGAATTTGAAGACTACTTTTTGAAGCGCGAGCTGCTTATGGGAATATATGAGAAGGGATTTGAGAGACCTTCTCCAATTCAGGAGGAGAGTATTCCAATTGCTCTCACTGGAAGTGATATCTTGGCTAGGGCAAAAAATGGAACTGGGAAAACTGCTGCCTTTTGCGTTCCTGCCCTGGAGAAAATTGACCAAGATAACAATGTTATTCAAGGTTTCCTTATTTATTTGATACTTCTTGTGAATATGGCATCTCTATACCCTACCTTGTCGAATTTGACTTCTTTAACAGAAGAATGTCAGGGAAGAAGAATTGATTCAAATTCAAGAATGGGTGCAAATTAATTCTTTTTTTTTTTTTCTTGTGAAAATGAGAGCTTATTGAGAGCTGAAATTGAGTTTAAGATAAATGAATTAGTGATAGTTGCTACCACTATTTTTTTCCCAAGTTAGAGTCGACTCAGTTATGCCATTACATGATATCCTTTTAAAAAATCATATGAAGATGTTTATTTGGGATAGCAGATACGGATAGTTACAAGATTGCTCTTAGTCATTTACATCACATATACTCATTAATGCAGTATCTGAGTGAACTTCTAGACAATTAATTTCTCAGTTTGACCTTTTCTCATTTATTGGCTCCAGTTATATCTTTGCTACGATCAGTTTTTAAATTATTCAGTTCTAATATTGCATCTTTCCAATTTGCACTATTGCAGTTGTTATTCTTGTCCCAACACGAGAATTAGCTCTTCAGACATCACAAGTTTGCAAAGAGCTTGGGAAGCATCTAAAAGTTCAAGTCATGGTTACAACTGGTGGAACTAGCTTAAGAGATGACATAATGCGTTTGTATCAACCAGTTCACTTGCTTGTTGGAACTCCAGGGAGAATCCTTGATCTTGCTAATAAGGGTGTTTGCGTTTTGAAAGATTGCTCTATGCTTGTGATGGATGAGGTATGAAAATGTTTTGATATATCTTTATTTTCGCAATTAGCTCTCTATTTTATTTATCTATCTATTTTTTTTTTTTGAGGATGAGTCAATCAAATTAGAAGTGAAATGTTATTGTTCTTTTATCAGTATTTGTTATTGGGAGGCTGGAAGCATTCCTTACTAGTTTCCATTTCTTCAGCACCACCAACCCCTCCCCTCCCCTTCCCCTCGGTTTAACTCTGGTGGCGGCGGGGGGGGGCGGGGGGGGGGGGGGGGGGGGGGGGGGGGGGGGATGCTGGACGTATTATTACTTTAGGAAGATATTAATTTTTTTCGTGAAATGTGTGAGATGAGCTGTTTAGAATTTCTACTTGCTGAACAAATGATAGCAGCACTAGATGTTACTGCTATTTGAATTTTGATTTGAGTTATTTATCTAGAACTTATGAATAGACAAGGGATACTGTTGGATTTGGAGAACTAGTTTGTATAGTTACAGTTTTTTGCTTCAAAATGTAAGTATTTACACCTCTGTTGGTTGCTGTTTAAGGTCTATTGCCATTGATTGATGCCCAAGGTCCAAGGTTGAATTAGCAGAATTGACTTTTGTAGAGTCATGGCATTCCAAACCACGTGGCAGATTGTGGACATCTGATTTTACGATGATCTTTTTTTATTTGGTTCTGGCTTTGTGAAGAAGTGATTATTGATGGGTAAACTTCATCCTGTTTCTACCACTGTCTTTCAGGCTGATAAGCTTTTGTCACCGGAGTTCCAACCTTCCATCGAGCAGTTAATTCGTTTTTTGCCTTCAAACCGTCAGATCTTAATGTTCTCTGCTACGTTTCCTGTCACGGTGAAAGATTTCAAAGATAGATACCTGCGGAAGCCTTATGTCATCAACCTTATGGATGAGCTAACTCTCAAGGGTATAACACAGTATTATGCATTTGTTGAAGAAAGACAGAAAGTTCACTGCCTCAATACTCTCTTTTCGAAGGTTAGAACTCTTGTTGAGAATGACTGTCTTGTGGATGATGCATTGTGGTTTTCTCCATGGAAAATCTGTTTTGGAGATTATATACGTGTAAATTTTTTGCCTGCAGCTTCAAATAAACCAATCTATTATTTTCTGCAATTCTGTGAATCGAGTAGAACTTCTTGCCAAGAAAATCACGGAGCTTGGCTATTCTTGTTTCTACATTCACGCTAAGATGCTTCAAGATCATCGCAACAGAGTTTTTCATGACTTCCGCAATGGTGCCTGTAGGAATCTTGTTTGCACAGGTATGATCTCCATCTTCTTGCAACAACTGTGCTTTTACATGGACATTTGTTCTCAGATGAGTATGCAATGCTCAACTTGTTCGATTATGCCCACGGTTCTTAACAATAATGGTTCATATATTAGTCTCCTAGATTTATTGTGCCCTGCTTGCGACAATTGGATTCAGTGGGGAAATGTTAATATTACACGTGGTTGGTTGTGATGAAAGTAGGATATGTATTTTCCTCCAAGTTGGTGCAGATTGTGAACAATTAGTGCGTGTTGTAAGAGTAAATAGACAAGTTAATCTTGAATGTTTTAATATAACAGCAAGGAAATGTAGAGGGGCACTAGTTGAAAAGTTTCTTAGGCATGTGCTATTTTTGAAGCATTTGGTGAAGTGACATGCTACCAACTTTTAGGCTTTCAATGCGAGGGCTTTCTTGATTTTTTCCTAGTAACAAAAATGCGCTTAAATTGATGAAGGAATGCATTTTATTAGTTTCATCGCTGCCATTTCTAAAATAATCCAATTACGTTAACTGTAACTTGACTAACGTTGATTGTATATTTTTTAATAGGTAGTTTTTTGTATTCCCGCATAGGTAATTATTAGGTGATCGCTCCTGCAGTCCTACATTTGCTATTTTTGTGTGTACATTTTTCCTTGTGAAGCATTCATTGAATTCGTGTTCTTAAATGAAGGATGCTGCATTTCTCCTAACCACTTATTAGATGGAGGAGAAAGGAAGGACATGACTTTTGCCTGCATTTTGATTCTACTCTCATCCAATAAAATTGTATTTCTCGTTAAACAGTATCCTATATCCTTTATTGCAATAATTATTTTATCTTCCTTATGCATTATCTTCCTTATGCAATCTATTGCAGATCTATTCACGAGAGGTATAGATATCCAAGCAGTCAATGTCGTTATCAATTTTGATTTTCCAAAGAACTCAGAGACATATTTACACAGGGTATGTTAAATTTTATGCCAGTTTACCATTCACGCTGCTGTGCTATTTTCTCATGGACAACAATACTGTCGTGTAGGTTGGACGATCTGGAAGGTTTGGACATCTTGGGTTAGCTGTGAATCTGATAACCTATGAAGACCGTTTCAATTTGTATGCTGTTATTCTATTTTTCAGTGATACAATATTACTTCATTTTTGGAGATTATTATATGATTTTCCTACTCGAATCTTTCAGGTATAGGATTGAACAAGAACTTGGGACAGAGATCAAGCAGATCCCTCCACATATAGATCAGGCTATATATTGTCGTTAATTGTGGTGACAACTCCTGTTCATTGTCGAAAGGTAATGGTGAGTCATGTCATATATGCATATTTATTTGTTAGCATTTATTTTCAGGTTTTCTGCAAATCAGGTATAAATGCACTTATATTTGAAGTCATGCAATTTAAGGTTTTTTATTTTTATGTGCATGTTCATTTATGTTACTTGCCATTGATTGATGCCCAAGGTCCAAGGTTGAATTAGCAGAATTGACTTTTGTAGAGTCATGGCATTCCAAACCACGTGGCAGATTGTGGACATCTGATTTTACGATGATCTTTTTTTATTTGGTTCTGGCTTTGTGAAGAAGTGATTATTGATGGGTAAACTTCATCCTGTTTCTACCACTGTCTTTCAGGCTGATAAGCTTTTGTCACCGGAGTTCCAACCTTCCATCGAGCAGTTAATTCGTTTTTTGCCTTCAAACCGTCAGATCTTAATGTTCTCTGCTACGTTTCCTGTCACGGTGAAAGATTTCAAAGATAGATACCTGCGGAAGCCTTATGTCATCAACCTTATGGATGAGCTAACTCTCAAGGGTATAACACAGTATTATGCATTTGTTGAAGAAAGACAGAAAGTTCACTGCCTCAATACTCTCTTTTCGAAGGTTAGAACTCTTGTTGAGAATGACTGTCTTGTGGATGATGCATTGTGGTTTTCTCCATGGAAAATCTGTTTTGGAGATTATATACGTGTAAATTTTTTGCCTGCAGCTTCAAATAAACCAATCTATTATTTTCTGCAATTCTGTGAATCGAGTAGAACTTCTTGCCAAGAAAATCACGGAGCTTGGCTATTCTTGTTTCTACATTCACGCTAAGATGCTTCAAGATCATCGCAACAGAGTTTTTCATGACTTCCGCAATGGTGCCTGTAGGAATCTTGTTTGCACAGGTATGATCTCCATCTTCTTGCAACAACTGTGCTTTTACATGGACATTTGTTCTCAGATGAGTATGCAATGCTCAACTTGTTCGATTATGCCCACGGTTCTTAACAATAATGGTTCATATATTAGTCTCCTAGATTTATTGTGCCCTGCTTGCGACAATTGGATTCAGTGGGGAAATGTTAATATTACACGTGGTTGGTTGTGATGAAAGTAGGATATGTATTTTCCTCCAAGTTGGTGCAGATTGTGAACAATTAGTGCGTGTTGTAAGAGTAAATAGACAAGTTAATCTTGAATGTTTTAATATAACAGCAAGGAAATGTAGAGGGGCACTAGTTGAAAAGTTTCTTAGGCATGTGCTATTTTTGAAGCATTTGGTGAAGTGACATGCTACCAACTTTTAGGCTTTCAATGCGAGGGCTTTCTTGATTTTTTCCTAGTAACAAAAATGCGCTTAAATTGATGAAGGAATGCATTTTATTAGTTTCATCGCTGCCATTTCTAAAATAATCCAATTACGTTAACTGTAACTTGACTAACGTTGATTGTATATTTTTTAATAGGTAGTTTTTTGTATTCCCGCATAGGTAATTATTAGGTGATCGCTCCTGCAGTCCTACATTTGCTATTTTTGTGTGTACATTTTTCCTTGTGAAGCATTCATTGAATTCGTGTTCTTAAATGAAGGATGCTGCATTTCTCCTAACCACTTATTAGATGGAGGAGAAAGGAAGGACATGACTTTTGCCTGCATTTTGATTCTACTCTCATCCAATAAAATTGTATTTCTCGTTAAACAGTATCCTATATCCTTTATTGCAATAATTATTTTATCTTCCTTATGCATTATCTTCCTTATGCAATCTATTGCAGATCTATTCACGAGAGGTATAGATATCCAAGCAGTCAATGTCGTTATCAATTTTGATTTTCCAAAGAACTCAGAGACATATTTACACAGGGTATGTTAAATTTTATGCCATTTTACCATTCACGCTGCTGTGCTATTTTCTCATGGACAACAATACTGTCGTGTAGGTTGGACGATCTGGAAGGTTTGGACATCTTGGGTTAGCTGTGAATTTGATAACATATGAAGACCGCTTCAATTTGTATGCTGTCATTCTGTTTTTCATTGACAGAATATTACTTCATTTGTGGAATTGTTATGATTTTCATACTCGCATCTTTCAGGTATAGGATTGAACAAGAACTTGGAACAGAGATCAAGCAGATCCCTCCACATATAGATCAGGCTATATATTGTCGTTAATTGTGGTGACAACTCCTGTTCATTGTCGAAAGGTAATGGTGAGTCATGTCATATATGCATATTTATTTGTTAGCATTTATTTTCAGGTTTTCTGCAAATCAGGTATAAATGCACTTATATTTGAAGTCATGCAATTTAAGGTTTTTTATTTTTATGTGCATGTTCATTTATGTTACAATTACTTTGTTGAGAATCAATTACCTCCTTGGTTGAGTTGAGTAAAATCTTTTCATTGAATTATCGATTCCTCATTTCTAATTTCGGATTATAGTAATTTTCTTTAAAATATCTCGTAACTTATTCGAAATGGTATCGTGGAAGAATGGTGATAACTAACCATTGTTTAAAAATGCTATTAGAGGCTTACGCTTTGAATCCTGTCTCACGGTGGCTTTCATAAAATGCCTCAAAATCCACACTTCAAATGTCATTTTGTGAGGTTCAAGGTGACTTAAGGTTTTGCCTGCATATCTTGCATTGTCCAGACCTCCAATTAATAGCTTTAGATATTTTAGTCATTTCTTTATAGCCTAATATGTTTTAGGTTCTTTTATTTTCCTTTTCTGTCTATACGAAAAGAAAAAAAAAAAGAGGGAGGACGATAGCAATGAATAAGAAGAAACTTCTAGCCTGTTTGAGCCCCATTATTCTCCAAAATTGCATTTTAGAATAGTGATTTGATGGAGAATATGTGGTTAAAAAATAAAGAAAAATTTTGGGTTTGCGTGTAATATTATTTTATTGCAGAATGTGTGTGGTTGAAATTAAAAGAGAAAAATGTATTTTAGAAGTAATGGGGATCAACTAAGTGCCCAGTGACAAGGATGGTGATGTCAATGATTTTCCTTAAAGATCATATTAGTGGTGATAATATCAATATGAGAAATTTTTTAGTTGTCTCTACTAGTAGTCACTTTGATACGTGATTACTAATTTGAGAGCTTATTATTTTTATCATATCGATCTATTTTATATTCATTTGCAAGTTAAACTTTTAATATTGATAATTAGTTTTATTATGGTTTTCAATGAGCATATTTTTGTATTTTGTTATTCTTTAGCATATTTTTGTATTCTTTTGAATTATTTTATTGTTCTGTCTTGAGGTAAGCTTCCCCTCAGAGATGTAAAATGCCTTGGTACGTAGTTTATCATTTTTAAACATTGTATCTACTATGTAGTATTGCTTTCCGTGGGAAATATTATTGGGACACTTGAGCACTTTATAGCTTGGATGCTTCTGAGTCTTTCCACTGCATTTAACTTCGGTTGATTTGTTTTGCTTTATAAAATGTAGTTGTTTGGCAGTTTCAGTTTTAATACATTGTTTAGACATGGTGTTGGGAAGTTCCCATAATGTTTTAGCAAATATATACTTACACGTTAAAGTTGATACCTGCTGTCCAAAAACCGCCCT